TCATTAAGGTGGGCTGACCTTTAAGGTGGACCAGCTGTTGTCATTTAAAGTTCCAGTGAGGAACTTCTAACTGGCAATGAAACAGTCCGAGTGTAGTCCTGATCCTCTATCAGACCTCCATCTGTAAAGAGACCATCAGAGAGAAGATGCTCTATTTCTATAGAGTTCTTCTTAATGATCGTCATCGGAGCCACCAGGTCGGATTCTGGTGAAACCAGATGAAATCCTGCAGGTTCACCAGAAACTCTTTCAGCTCATACTCCAGCGGGGCCTCCAGCAGAGACCGGTCCACCAGGGACAGACCAGGTTCAGGCTTTGCTGCCAACTTTGACCTGCAGTCTGAAGTTCCGACTGGAGGAGGAGAGCTCATTGCTATGCAGCAGCATCCCCTCCTCCTCCAGGAGCAGAGCTCTCTGGGAGCCAACACCGACACCACGCTGCTGGAGACCCAGTATCTATTGCTGGACCCGCTGGAGTGAAGGGAAGCACGGGAGAACCAGAACCAGGAGTAGGACTGAGAGGGGCAGACTGTCAGACCCTGCTGCAGTAAAATGAGAGGTTTTCTGAAGGGACTCTGGTGCCTTTGTCCACAGGGGTGCTAAAATCACCACAAAATGAAAGACAAGCTGCTCCTCTGAGTTTTGCTTTTTTGTAATGTTTAATATTTCCTTGAACTGTTAAACTGACAGCAATAATGGGTCAAAGTTCTTATTGTTGGTTAACAGTTAATTCTTAACATCTGTAATACGTGCTCTGAGTCCCTCTTACCTGCCTGTTAACACATGTTCACTGGACCTGATGAAGCAGCTGTGTGTTCTCACGTGATCAGCAGCTTGCTGAGGTTTCTGTCTCTCCTCCTCAGCCTTCCCTCTGGACCGGAGGAACTCGCCTCCTAACAGCCTGACTCCATGTCTGAAGATCAGAAACATGTTCGACCCAGTCATGTGAGTATCGTTGGATGCGCTGTCAGGTGCTGTTGACTTTCCGCGTCATAACCTCCTTTTGAATTTGTGTGGTTAGGGAGGTCGGGGAGAACTGGGACCTGGCCATCCACGAGGCCATCCTGGAGAAGTGCAACGACAACGACGGCATTGTCCACATCGCGGTGGACAAGAACTCACGAGAGGTTCGCCCCGTCTTGTGAGTAATGTCACAACTGCGCGCTGTCGGCTGCGGTGATGTCACACTTTGCTTGTGCTCTCTCCACAGGGCTGTGTCTACGTCAAGTGTCTCTCTGCAGAACACTCAGGGAGAGCCTTCAAGGCCCTTCACGGCTCCTGGTTTGATGGTAAGTCACACTTTTAATAACATTTAGAACACACACTGTTGATGAAGATGACGTACCATCCAGGAAGTCCAAATAATTCATCCACGGGTTTTGAAGAATGCCCAGTGACAAATCATTGAAGAGCAGTCCATAACACAATGAGACAGTTTAACAGCTCAAACAGCCTGTTTCCGGTCTGAATTTGATATATAAAACAAGTATATTGTCTGTTTTTATTTCAGGCATAAATTGATTCATTGGTTACATTGTTTGTCAGGAGTTGTCTATATACGTCTGTATTCACACGACAGCCCTCGGTGACATGACGATACGGGAGCCGCCATGAAATGCAACCTAAGCCGCAACGAATCTAAAAACAGTGTTTTTCTACGTTATCATTAGTTAAAATCATTCAAAGTGACAAACATTTTTATTTAAAATATACATTTTGATGGTTTGTTCATAATCTGGATGTTGATTTTGATGTTAACAATGCAGCTTAGTTAAATTCAAAGATTTTTTCCGTAGCATTCAGTAAAATCCCAGCTGTAGCATAGCTCCTGATGGAGCGTCTTAGAGTTGGACACTTGTCGTGGGGAGAGGTGCAGCATGTTGTCCAGGACGAGCTGGAGAAGTCTCATTGCAGCCTTGTTACCCATAACGGAGGAAGAGGAGTACATAAGATGATTTGAACAGTAGCAGCATTCTCATAGTTCACATAACGTCATCAGCTCACTCACTGTGAATGCAAATGGCGCGTGTGTTTATGCTGTCAGAGAGTTTTAATAAGAACTGTTTGTTCCACAAAACGTCACTTTCAGGGCACTGTGTACAGTTAATGCTATTTGGCGGAAAATACGTTTTACAAATTCTCCAGACATAAGCCAAGTTCCCGTGTTTTTTTGTTTCGACAACTTCGGCCCAGGCTCACTTAAGGTGGACCGACCTTTTTAAGGTGGACCAGCTATTCTCTAGAAGTCAAACTGGAGTGTCTCTGGGTCACATTTTCCACTTCTCACCAGTAGCAATACAGCCACACCCGCACAGCTCCTCGTGTTAGTTTAACATATGAATTGAGTCTGAGCTCCTGCTGAGACAACAATCTGGATGGAAAAACACAAAGCATCTTCTCACTATTGTTAAGAGCAGGGATACAACCGAGAAAATGTCCGTTTCCATTCGTGAGCAGATAGCAGCACTGGTGTGTGGGATGTGGACATGTTGGAATGAGTGTTCCTGTCAGCGTAAACGTGTGTATTGAAGAGTGCTGCAGTGACGGGCTTCTGGTCTTGACAGGTAAGCTGGTGACTGTGAAGTATCTGCGTCTGGACCGGTACCACCAGCGCTTCCCGCAGGCCCAGGGCTGCAGCACGCCCCTGAAGGCCTCCAGCCCCCCGGGCACCACGAACACTACGGCCCGCCCGCAGCACCGCGGCTCGGCCAACTCTTCGGGCTTCTCGTGAGGCGGGCCTCAGCTTTTGGATTTGTCCTCTGTGCCCTCCCAGCATGACAGCACCAGTCTGCTGCTGCTCCTTCACTGCTTCACAACGGGAAGACTTCAGTCTGTGTCTCGGGAGAGAGCGCTTCTTTTCTCTGTTTGTTTTCTTTTGTTGTTGTTTTTTTCCAACACAGGACTGCGAGAAAAGCTGTTCAGCTGCGCGGTGTTTGTTTCAATAATCTTTGTATTAAAATGTCCTGGTTTTAAACAAGGAAGCAAAAGTTCTTGTGGGATATTTAAGCCGCGTGCAGAGCC